CAGGATGGGGAACCCCAAAATCTGGCCGGGGTTTGGGGTGTGGGACTGCATGCACCTCGCTTGGGGTCCAGACTGTGTGCTCGGGGTGTGGGGACCGCTTGCATCTTGCTGGGGGTCAGGACGTGGGGACGCTTGGGTTTCATTTGGGGCTGAGATGTGGGGACCGCATGCATCGCATTTGGGGTCAGGATTTGGGGACCCTCACATCGCGCTCGGGGTCAGGACGTGGGGACTACCTGCACCCTGCTCGGGGCGGGGACCTGGGACCCTCGCGTTGGTGCTCAGGGGCAGGACCACGGGGACCCTTGCATCGTGCTTGGAGTCAGGATGCCGGGACCCTCGAACGGGGGTCGGGACACGGGGACCTTCGCGTTGGGGTCGGGGTCAGGCTGTGGAGACCCTTGCATGGCACTTGGGGTCACAGGGGGACCCTTGCATGGGGGCTGCGACATGGGGACCCTTGCAGGACGCTCAGGGTGGGGACGTGGGGACCTTCGCATTGGGTTTGGGATGCAGGGACCCTCGCGTCGGGACTGGGGGACCATACCCTTTTACTGGGGTCGGTATGGAGGGACCCCTCCTTCGGGGCCAGCACTTGGGGACATCTGCACTGGGGTCAGGACTTGGGGACCACCGTACGGGGACCACAGCACCTCCCTGGGGCTCAGCGGGCTGGAAACGGGGGAAGGTGGGGGCAGGTTGTGTCTGTCCCCTTCCTCCTCGCAGGGACCGTGACCAGGGGCCAGGTCCAGGCTCCCCGCCACCCTGGGTGGCTCCGGATAATTCGGATGCGGCACCGGAGCCGCTTAACCCCATCCTGATCCAGCCTTCGCCCCGAAACCTGGCTGCCATGAGGAAGAAGCCGGCCAACGGGAGGGGGCCGGATCCTGCGGCCCCCCAGCAGCGAGCCCGGGGCATCACCAAGCCGGCGGAGGTGATTTACCCACAAGGGGGGACCCCGAGATGAGGTTTGGGTGCGGGTGCATCCCTGTGACCCCCCCAAACCATCATCTCAGGGTGGTCCGGTTGCCCCAGGGGGGGCAACTGCAGCATCATGGGGGGATTGTTGCTGACACGGGTGGGGTTTTCCCCCCCCCAAGACGGTGGGCCCTTTGCGGTGGAAGGACTTGAACTTGCAGCAGCAAGCGGGGCGGCTGGAGGAGCAGCTGCGGGCCCTGAAGGTCGGGCATCCGCCACCGCTCCCCCTCGCCCGGAAAAGGGGGGAGCCCAA